CCACCCGAGTCCTCTCCATCTGATGCAACGCACCTGTCCAGACGGATTTTCCACCGCTCAGAACGGTTTTTGAACTTGTCAGGTTTGTTGCCTTTTAGTGCTTCTGTTGTTTTTTGGTTTCACTTCTTCCACATCAGCAAAACATTTCCCTTTGAGGAATTTTTTTCATCCAGAGAAAGAAAAATAAGTCACTTGGGGTGACGGCAGGTGAATAGGGAGGGTGAGGCACGGGGGGGTCATGCCATTTTTGGTCAAAAACTGCTGAACACTCAGCACAGTGTGGGCAGGTGCGTTTGTAAATCACCCATCATGAAATGGGCAAACACAGTCAAAGAGTCTTCAAAATAAATTCACTGAGGCCTAACGCAGCCTCTCACAACAATGCCAGCTGGTGCGCTGATGCAGATGAGTTCCCAGAACACTCACCAACTGGGAGAAGGCCATGCTACAAGGAGCCCACCTCCAGGAGATCATTCTGGTTTGTTTTTTGTTGGGTCCCCCCCCTCGTAATTTATGTAACAGTTCCCGCCCAATGTGTGGAAAACCCACACAATCCTGAATTCACTAAGCCTCTAAATAACAGAGATTTTAGCAGCAATTCACTTATAAAATAAGATCAAACATAATAAAGAAGCAAAAAAGCAGCCCCAGCTCTTCCACCAGCCAGGACAGGGAGGGGGGTGGCCTGTTTTCAACGATTGATGACTATGATGTCCCCACACGATGACCTTACCCACCACACAGGGGCCGGAGCACAGAGACTTGCAGAAGCCCTGTTCACCACTGAGGACTGTCACTCAAAAACCAGCCAGCCTTCCCTCCACCCAGAACCATCGGCAGCTGCAGAAACCACTGCCCCGAAAGGCTGGCAAGTCTCCCTAACGCCGCTCCAGGCTTCTTGCCATGCAGCCATATTAAGGCGCTTTTCAAGCAGGACAGTCCTCTGAGGGCAGAACTCCCCTCACTGTGCAGCTGGGTGATTGGAGAGCCTGAGCGATGGACTTGCCAAGGTTGCAGAGAGTTTAACGCTAAGATGCAAAAAGCCCTTGAAATCTTGGTTCCAAACTCTCCGACCATCCTGCTGTGCGGAAGGAGGAAGCCAGCCCCACTTGTGATCATGGGCCCCTTTGCTGAGCAGGCCTATGACCTCGTGAAACATGGCTGCCATTGTACTCTTCTGGGCTGATGTCCCGGGACTGGAAATTACTGGAAAGCAAGATCAGAGCTCACTGTCCTGACAGCCACGGGTGGAAGATAACATTGGAACGAACTGCAGCCTGGTGTTGCCACGGCCCAGCAGCCCAGAGGCCACACCACAGCACCCCACCCTTTTTTAATCCAATTATAACCTAATAAAAAGCTCAAAGCCTCCACCTTGCCCCTCTGTGCTGGTGTATCTCTCCCCACTGGGCCCCTCACCTTTCTTGGAGAAGGAATAAAAACTTGACTCCACACTTTCCTCACTTTGTGAATTCTCTCCCAGCCGGTGTCACCGACCACCCTACCCCTGAGTATACAGACACTCTAGTTCTCGAAATCTGACCCTTCAGACTTGATGATAAACCCGACTCCCACGGATTCTCCTAGGTGGGAGCTCCAGGGAAAACTACAGGCAGAGTGATGGCCCGTCACACGGTGCTCTTTTCGGCCTGACCACTAGGAAATGCCAGGAAAGACCGCAAGTCCTGGAAGCCGGGACGTCTATGGCACTTCTGGTTTACAGGACGATTCATCTCAACCCCCGTCTTCATCCCCCCTGGGAAGAGGGGCTGCTCTTGCCTTGCGCTGCCGGGGAGGCTTTAAAAGGCCGTTCTCTTTCCCCTGCAGCCGGACACGCGTGCGTGCTGACGCGGGAGGTGAATTACTAGAGAGTAGAAGTCAGTGCTTCAGAACTCAGGCACCCGCTCCGCAATCACTGGGCCTTTCACTGACCCCGCATGACCTGTGGGGACGGCAAACCTGGGGCACAGGTCGGCGGATGGAATTACACACCGCGAGAATGCTCTCAAGAAGTACTCCGAGAGAACACGTCGCTGCCACTCAGTCTGCTGTCAGCCATCGCTCCACGTCTCCCCAGGCGCACTGAGTGGCCCGCTCCAGCCCACGGACAGGACAGGGGCAGAGCTCCCGGCGGCCTGGCCTGAGCGCAGGCGCGGCTGCTCCGCGGGCTGGAGTCCTGGCGCAGGCCCTCCCGCGGTTCCGGGGTCTTCGTTTACACTCTCCGTGCCTCGTGTTCCCATCTGTCACACGGGCACCTTCCTCATTAGGGTCTGGGGACAACATGCCTGGAGTCTAGAACATCCAGGCCTGGCAAACAGTAAGCGTTTAATAAATGTCCACCATTATCATTACTAAAGAACGTAGGGCAAGTGCACGCCATACACTCCATCTCCACCTACTTACGTGGCACTACCCAATTTGCTTGCTCTCCTTTTCTAACGTTCGTTTTCAAGTACAGTTGACATTTCGGCAGTACTCTGTGTTGGTTTCAGGGGTACAGCACAGTGGTTGGACAACCATCTACTTTACGAACGACACCCCAGGGTTTCCGGGCACCGCCTGGCCCTGCGCGCAGGTGTCGCTCTGTTGCTGGCTGTGCTCCCTAAGCTGTACTGGACGTGCCCGCGACTGTTCCTATTTGCTTCCTTAACGTGAAATTCCGATGTCTTTGGAAAAAACATCTGCTCTGTACACTGTGAAGCATATTGAAGGATTGCTACAGGGAAATGGCGGCAGAAAGACCCATGCCGATGCTCCCTGGGGGGAAAGAGTCCAGCCTCAGGCCCAGGCTGCTCGCTGGCACTTGGGAAGGAGCCCGGTGGTCGCCCTGGGCTCCTGGAGAGGCAGGAATGCCGCGATGGAACTCCGGGAAAGGGAGCAGGCCAACGGAACCCAGACAAGCATGGCCTCATTTTAAAGTCATCTTTATGGCCTGAAAAGGTAAAAAATGTAGAAACAAACGAACAAACAAAAGGCTGCCCTGACTCAAGACACGAAAAAAAGGAAGGAAGGAACTGAGGTGAAGGGCAAGTCCCCGCGGGGGGAGGGCTGTTTCCCATGCATGAGCTGGCCTCCGTGAGTGAGCAAAATCCTTACCTGGCTCAGTCGGGAGAAAAAGATCTTTCTTCTCCAACTGCCAAGGTTGTTGAAGCAAAATCAGAGTGGACATCTGATAAGTCTCGGCAGCGTCACTTAATTGGAAGCCGAAAAAGCTCAGTATTTTGAAAAGTACTAAGGACTAAGGACTAGAAGAGGGACCAATCCAGACAGAAGGGAAGAAAACAATAAAGCCACCAACAAGAATGTTTTTATACTGCAGCTCAAGATGGAGGACCATCACCAGACTAACCTCCTGAAAAAAAGCTTTTAACTTGCCTGCCTGAACATCGTCAGTACTCCCCACGGCCTATGGGACAGAGCCAGGAACCTGTCCCGGTAACGGAGCCCCACCAGCCTCTCCAATCATGTTTCACCGTCGGGGGATGTCCACTCCTGCCAGACTGGCTTCCTTATTCGTTCAGGGGAGGAACAAACCACGCTCATTTCAGCTTTGTACCTCAGCGCCTATCACACAGTACTTGCTCAGGAAATGTTTGCTGATTCAGCAAAAACTCGGCCGTGTTGAGAACTGTACGCTGCACCCCACTCCTGGAGAGCCCCTTCCCCAGCCCGCTGCTGGCAGCCCAGCTGTTCCCGAAAGCTCTCTGGCCGCCTGCCACCTCTCCTCAGCACCAGCACCCAGACAATCCACCCTGGGCTTCTCCACTCCCGGCCTCAGTCCCATGGACTCCCAGCAGACCCTCGGTGCCCTTTAAACAGTCCTGCGCGTATGTTTTGTCTGTGCAACTGAACTGGGAGATTCTAGAGGAAGGCAGGATATTTTGAAGCAGTGAGATACAGTGGGAAGAAAGGTTATTATTCTGTGGCCTCGCAGTCCTAGTTACATGACTTTGGGAAAATTCTGTGTGAAAGGCTTAGAACAGTGCCTGACTCGAGGTATGCATTTTGCAAATGTTGGCTATTGCCATTCTCCACCTCTCGGAACCTCAGTTCTCTCCTGTACGAATGGGATTCATAGTAACTCCTCTGAAAAAATAAGTATGTAAATAAATACAAAAGTAAATTAAACAAAATAAAGTAAGATAAGTAATGTTTGAAGTCTCTAGGACCTTCCTTAGCCATGCTGTAGCCACATGGCAGCCATTATCACAAAACAACTTGCTGGAGGCAGAGAAAATGCTCCATAAAAGTGTGTGGAATGAGCTCAGGCTGGTGTAGCTCAGTGGATTGAGCACGGGGCCTGCAAACCAAGGGGTCACTGGTTCCGATTCCCAGTCAGAGCACATGCCTGGGTTGTGGGCCAGGTCCCCAGCAGGGGGCACATGAGAGGCAACCACACATTGATGTTTCTCTCCCTCTCTTCCCCTCTCTCTAAAAACAAATAAATGGAAATCTTTGTGGAGTGAGTGGAAGGAACAGAGAGAGACACAGACCAGCATCAAATCGGATATCAAGGGCAACCCTTCCGTCATTCATTTCAGCGATCTTTACCAAGGGCTATCGTTACACCATATAGGCTTTGTTCTAGGTGCTGGGAGGCAACAGCGAAACTAGCCTTTCTCCCATGAAATCCACATTCTAAAGGGCAAGACAGAGAAAGGAAAGTTTTTATGGTATGAAGTGCTACGAAGAAGCAAAAACATCAGGGCGAGAGCAAGCTGGTGGGGGCTGGGGGCGGGGCTGCCTGCAGACCAGGCGCTGGCACTGGGCAGAGGTCTGAACTCTCAGCAGAGCTGGCCTCCCCCTCCGGCGGACTCTGATAGTCTTTCCACCGCTCAGATTCAGGTGCCAGAGGCCCAGCTCTGTCAGAGAGGTGGCCATCTACTTCCCAGGACACCACTCCACTCAGACCAAGCTACAGTCGCTGCTGAGCCAGCGGCGTTGTGAAAGAGGTGGCCACTTAGCCCCACGCGGAGGAGATAAACAGAGCACAGCCATACCGCCACCGGCCTGTTCCCCAGGAAGTTCAGATCGCTGTTCTCTCCAAACAGGTAACCTTCGGGGTGAGTGGAGTCGAACTTCTCTCCTCCCATAATGAAGTGGCTGGCAAAGTAGCTTCCTGGAGGGGGAGAGACAGAAAGATCAGAACCAGTCAAACGAAACCAAGCGAACGTGCCCGTTCGAAGAAATGTCAGCCCTTGAAACAAGTAATGAGAGCACTTGCTGACCCCAGGAGAGCTTTCTTCTCTGGATTTGGGGTAACAGCACGAAATAAGCGAGCAAAATCGTAGCCATGAGAACAGAAGATACCAACCATAAAATAGATCGTGTTCTCCTTTGAACACTCTTTACGCGGTCTTTGCCGTGACCGACCTCTGACACCATCAGCCGAAACACCAGAAGGTTCCACGATGCACATCAATGAGCACACACGTGTATTGTGTTCCTGACTCTCCCCCTTCCACTTGAACTGGTTACTCTCTGTCTCCACGTATTCCGGAACCTTAACCAGGAAGACCGATCGGCACGTGCACACACATTCCTTTGCCTGGTTTCCGCGAGCTGCCTCCCACCCGACACACAAAGAAGGCTCCGTGCCCCTGACGCCACACATGCAGCCCTCTGCAGCAAAAGCTCTTCATTTTTTAAAGATTTTATTTATTTATCTTTAGAGGGGAAGGGATGGAAAGAGGGAGAGAATATCAATGTGTGGTTGCCTCTCTAGCTTCCCCTGCTGGGAACTGGCCTGCAACCCAGGCATGTGCCCTGACAGGGAATCAAACTGCGATCCTTTGGTTTGCTGGCCCGCACTCAGTCCACTGAGCTACACCAGCCAGGGCAAAAGCTCTTCGTTTTTCATACATGCTTCAAAACAGCCGTGTAACAGGAACATACTAACGTAAATGACATGGCCAGCACTGACTGTCCTGGCAGTTACAACACAGTTACAGAGTCTGGCTGGACCACAGGTCAGTGCTCTGAAAGACAGGCACGCCCGCACGCTGTCCATCTCGAATTCACTGACCAGGCCGGGCCGAGGGCCAGGGACGCCAGTGGTGACCGGCCCTTTTGCCCTACCTTGCAAAAACCAGACGCCGTCAGTGGTCAGGGGTCAGAATCCTGGGCAGCCTCCTCCAGACCGGCCAGGCACTGACTGGTCACCATAGGAGGCTCAGGTGACTCTGCCGAGTCCACCTGGGAATTCGTTCCGACTCTGACGGTGAAATGAAGGCCCCTGCACCCAGACATCTGCACACTCACTCTCCCACGACAGGGGAGCCCCAAGCTCAGGGCTCATACCTCATACGCCTCACCCATGCTCCCAGGCACTCAACTCTTGCTGGGGGAGAAATTATGAAATGGCCACAGGCTTCTTGCTGGGTTGTGTCAGCTAGGACGCAGATTAAACTCCCTGAGTCAGCTTCAGTTTCTGTGCAAGGTCTGCAGCAAACTCTAAAAAAAATCAGACGGTCCCATCACTGCCAGCCAGTGAAGGAGTCACAGCAAGGAAGATGTGGGCGATTCTAACAGAAACGGAACCAAACATCCAAGTTCTGGATTCTCTAGGTGCAGAGCTTGAGAGTAGAAACACTTCTTTAGACAAAACAACGTGCATGAAATCACGCACCACGCAGTGAGGCAATTCTTTAATTAAACAACAAGCAAGAAAAGAGTCTTGGCTGCCAAGATCAGAGTGGTCCCTGACGGGCTCCTGATGGCTACCCATCGAAACTTAAAAACGCACAGGGCAGCCATCTGCCGGGAGGCAAGCGTGCAAGTCCTCATTTAGGAGAGCCTAGTCCTCAATTATTTATGTCCAGTGCTTGTGGGCCCTATTTTCCAAGTGCATAATTTATAGAGGGGGAGGTGTCTCGGTGCCTCAAGTAGAAACAGCCACCTCAAATCATCGAAACCATTTACAGTTGGCCGTCAGTAAAATGCATTCTCTACACATTAGAAATGATGTATTTATTCTATATTCAGTGCAATTAGGAGAGTTAGAGAGTTTGCATTGCTGGGTGGCTTGCCTGAATTGTGGATAAAGGGTGGTGACAGGCAGGTTTGGGGCCTGGCATTGCACAGGGTGAGCTGAGTGGGGGGCACCCTGGGGTTCCAGCACCTGCGAGCAGTCGGGCGGGGGGTGTGGGGACAGCGATACGCATGGATAAGCCGCTGACATGGTTCTAGCAAGAGAACAGCACCAATAGCTAAAGGGTTAAAGAAAGTACCAGGGTTCTCTGGAAATGCCCCCTTTTGCCATCATATTAAAAGAAATGGTTGAGAACCTAGTGTTAGAACTCACTGCAGTTTTGCCTTGCATCGGAAACCAAGAGCCCAAATACACAAAGGCCAAAAGTTAGGGCCAACAATTCGCGGATGAGAAAAGAATTTTTCATTTCGGGGGAAGCACCAATGCCAAGTTCCTTTAAAAAGCTGACCTCCCTGGTGGTCAGGATAGCTCGTCACTCAGAAGGAAAAATAAACCGCACCAAAAGCTTGCCTTCTCCTTTCTTCGAAATGGACCCCTCTAAAACCCTGCCCCGGTGAGGCCGGCGAGAAGCCGCAAACCCGCCGCGTGCGGCCTGGGCGAAGCTCTCCGGCCACCCGAGCCCGTCCAGAGGCACAGGCCAGTGGGACTGAGCTCGTGCTAACACCGAATACACCCACGGCTCCCAAAAGGTGCCTTCTAAACCACAAGTGCCCATTCTTCGCACGAACTGCGCTCTAAAATCATAAATGGCGTTGTGGGAAAGAACCATACCAAAATACTTCTTTGCCTATTTACTAAAAGGAAAAAATATTTATGACTCATAAATGAAGGACAAGTTTTCCATTATTATTTAGCTGTAGTTTTTTTTTTTTAAATCTACACTTGAGGACATTTTTGCATTGCTCTTAAAGAGACAGGAAAGGAGAAAGAGAAATATCAGCCTTCTATACGCGCTGGCCAAGGGACAGTACCCTCCTGGACTAGGGATTGAACCTGCCACCCAGGCCTGTGCCTTGACCGGGAATCGAACCTGCAACTCTTCGGTTCTAGGACAAAACTCCAACTAACTGAGCCGCACCAGCCCGGGCTTTAACTATAATTTTTAACCCAAATTCATATTCAGAATTCTCTGAGGGCTTTAAGAAGACATATCTTGTGGTGATCATTTTGCAAGATATACATATACCACATGATCACACTAGACACCTGAAGCTTACACAACATTTATGCCTCAAAAATGCCGGGTCAGGAAGGAAGGCACGTCATCGCGGATCTGCAGAGTTATATGTAGAACAGAAGGTGCACGTGGGAGGGAGAAGGGGAATTAGTGTTCAGTGGGTACAGATTTTCAGTTTTGCAAGAAAGACATGTTCTGGCGATCTTAGCACTACTGAACCATATGCTTAGAAACGGTTAAGATGGTAGGTGTAATATTACAGAGTTTTTACCACAATAAAAATCAACATCAAGGGGAAAATCCTACAAGGAGAGGACCAGAAGGACCAGCGCTAATGCAAGTGCAGTGTGCGGGGACCCACGGGAAGGTGGAGGTGCGGGGATTGAGAAGGGCCCATCACAAAAACGGTCCCAGGGCCGCGGAGCACAGCCCGGGGAACAGCCACAGTCCTAATAACTGCGTGCGGTGTCAGGTGGGGCCTGGATTTACTGGGGGGTCATTTCGTAAGGGACACAGATGTCTGATCACTGTGTTGTGCACCTGAAGGTAATGTCATATGGTGTGTCAACAATAATTTTTCCTTTTTAAAAAAAATACAGAACACTGCACGAATTCGCGTGCTGTCCTCACACAGGAGCTGTGCTGAGCTTCTTTGTGTCGTGCCGATTTTAGTGCGTGTGCTGCCAGAGTGAGCACTAAAAAATAAATTTTAAAAGAGTATTAAACAGCCCTGGTGTGGCTCAGTGGATTGAGTGCCAGCCTCCAAACCAAAAGGTCGCAGGTTTGATTCCCAGTCAGGGCGTGTGCCTGGGTTGTGCCAGGTCCCCAGCAGGGGGCGTATGAGAGGCAATAGATGAATGTAGCTCTCACAACACCAATGTCTTCCTCTTTCTCCCTCCCTCCTCCTCCCTCTAAAAGTAAAACAAATGAAGTCTTTTATAAAAAAAATTATTGAAGAAAAACAGGCATTCAGGCAAAAAATTCAATTACTTATAAGGGAAGAAAATGACATTAATATTTTTCCTCCAGATCAGCGCTATCCAGTAAAGACATCATGCGGGCCCCATCACTGTAAACGGCCTGAGAGCCATGCTTTTAAAGAGTAAACATAAACAAGCAAGGTTAAGTTTAATATATTTTATTTATCCCGATATTGGCTATCCCAATATGTCCAAAATATTATTTGAACATGCAATCAATATAAAAATTATTAAAAAGCTATTTATAGATATATATATATATTTTTTTGGTATAAAATGGAGTCTTCAAAATCTGTCATGAGATAAGCCAGAGAAAGACAAGCACCGTATGATTTCACTTACACGTGGAATCTAATGAACCAAATAAACTACAAACAAAACAGAAACAGACTCACAGACGCTGAGAACAGACTGACAGCTGTCAGAGGGGAGGGAGGCTGGGGGCTGAGTAAAAAAGGTGAAGAGACTGATTAAGTAAAAAAAGAAAAAAAAATCCATCACAGACACAGACAACTGTGTGGTGCCAGGGAGAGGAGGGTGGGGGTCAAAGGGGGTCCAGCGGGGGTAAGTGGCGGCGGAAGGAGACTTGACCTGGGCTGCTGAACACACGACACACACGATGTGCCACAGAACAGTGGCCCTGAAATCCATACACTTTCGTTAACCAATGTCACCTCCACAAATGCAGTTAAAAAGGCAATAATCCAGCCCTGCTCTGAGAAGTCACTCCCCCGTTCACACTCGGTTTGAGCCGTCCGGGTTTTCCCACTCACCCGTAAATATGAATATTCAGGCTTTCTGATTTGCCATATTTTGTTTCTGACCTAACTGGGGTATGACACACACACACTGGCCTGCAGGTTGATTTTTCCCGCCTGATGTCCCCTAGGTGCCCTCCCACGCCCGTCCCGGGAGCGGGCCCCGCCCCTACTGCCCAGTCCACAAGGGCCCCCAGCCGCCTGGAGGCCTGACTCCCAGCCCAGCGCTGTGCGGACCAGTCCCACACGGCTGCTCCTCCCAATGGCCCTCTCACGTAGGGTTACTAATTTCTCTTTCATATTTTACAGGAAAGGAAATAAATGCACAGAGAGTTTAAGTAATTTGTCCAAGGCCACACAACTGATAACAGGCAGCGCCAGGCCCCAAAACCAGCTGTTTTTATTCCAGAGCCTGTGGGTGCTTGGCCTTTACCCTACAGCCTCACTGAATGCTAAGATATAATTTTCTTTTTCTATTTGAGTGTTTAACACCTGGAACTTGCCCTTATGGATTATCTAGGATAAGGATTTAAACACTTTTTCCAAATAAGAATCTTTACCAATACCACTTTTAAACATTATTTGAAATGTGAGGTTTATCATGCTCTGTGTACCTCGATCTAGGCTCTGGTCTATTGGGAACCAGTGCAATGTAGTTCGCCTGTGACCTTAACAGTTTTCAGAGCGAGGCCCTGGACGTGGATCCAACCTTCCCCGCACTCCCGAGTCCGCAGCCCTGACCCTGCCTCCCTTCTTTGCAGAGCTGCCTGGGAACCTTCTGCATTTTGAGAGCCCGCCCCTTCCAGTGTGCCTACACTTCCAGCCTGTGTTCTTAGGTCTCAGGAAGGAAGGTGCTCTCCGCTCCCCGTCCCAAGGTTAACTTCTTCACCCGCGTTCCCATTCCCTCCTGCCTCCGCCTCCTTGAGACCTCAATAACCGTCGTTCTCGGTAGTTCTATTCCCCTCTGCCCGCTGGCTTTTTACCTCCCTCATTGTACAAGCATATTTTCTCCGCAACGCAAACAGCAAGTGAAAAAATCAGTTCCACCCCCATGCCTTAATATATCCGCCCTCCCGCCGTCCGTCCGTCCATCTGCTCCCATCCCACACCCAGTCACTCCTCACATCTTCGCAGCGGTCCCCACCACACCACCGAAGCTGTTCTCTGAAACCCCGCCCCGTCTTGAGCCTCTTGAGCCTCTTCCTCCTCTCAACTTGCTCCACTTTTCGCCCAGGCTGCAAACAGGGACGAGTCTCCAGGGCTCAGCCCTCTCCTCCGCTCCTTCATTCTCATTCATTCTCACTCTCTCACTCCCTCCCCCTTCCTCCTTCTCTCTCTCCGTCCCTCCCTCTTAGGTTCAAAGCAAAGGCCTTGACCTGGGACAGAACTGGACTTGATGCAGATGTTGCCTTCCACAAGTGGCGTGACCTAGAGCAAGTTATTTAACTTTTTTGAGCTTTGGTTTCCTTATCTGTAAAATGGAGATAATACCTCTTTCACAAAAGGATTATTGTTGGGACTGAGGCTGGCTGGGCACCATGGGCAATCAGCACGCGCAGGCCTTTCCCTTCTCTACTCGAGGACTTCCAAACCTCCTTCTCCCACCCTTCTCTGGAGTTTTAGTCCAAATCTTTAACTGCCTGCCCTACCTTCTCCTCTGGGTATCCCATCTTTGCCTGAAACTCAGTGAATAACCTTTTCTTCTGGAAGGAGTTGGAGCAAAGCCCATTTTATCTTAGGAGCAGGCACCAGAAGTCCTCTGGGGAACACCGGTTCCCTCCCTGGAACGTACCTTGTGAAGCTATTGAGATCGGAGAGCTGCACCAAGTACAAGGGCACTTTCATTGCTTCTTGATGGAATGCAAAATGCTTTGTAATTTGTTTTTCTTCTCGCAGGGAGGGGTGAAGAGTCAAAAAAAGGGGAGTTCAGGGGACAGAGACACTAAGACAGAGGAAGGCTGGGGCAGCTGAGCCCCGCAGAAGTCCCGGTTGGGGAAGGATGCTGACCACTCCTTCGCCCGTGTTTCTGCAGCATAAGCCCCAACTTCTTTAGTAGAATCTGCACGGTGAATACTTCCCGTGAGTGGAATTTTGGGGGGAAAGTGAAGAAGGCAGTGATGTCACGTTTGCCGTGGGGCAAAGACAGCAAGCTGGCGCTCAGGGCCCAGCACGGTCAGAACGTGAGGCGCTTGGGAACTACAGAAATCTTGGCGGGGGCTCTAGACATCTGCACGCATTGATCTGAGGCAATGGGCGGGTTTCTGTCTAACTTGCCCAGGTCCTGAGGAACAGTAAAGCCCCATCTGACGTTCGGGACTCACTTTAAACGCAGTGTCTGCTCCAGATTCCCAATTTCTGTCAAGGGTGCCTTGCTCCTCTGGTCCCCTAGGTTGAAAGTGTCATTGTCACCAAAGCTCTGAAAACCCTGAACGTGGGCTTTGTGGCAGGGGCGTCCGACCTTTTGGCGTCTCTGGGCCACACTGGGAGAAGAGCCTTGGGCCACATATTAAATATATCGTGACACACAGTCACACACACACACACAAAATCTCCATGTTTTAAGCAGATTTACAATGCTGTGTTGGCCGCATTCATAGCCACCCTGGGCTGCAGGTCGGACACCCCTGGAAAGCATCCTCGTCAAGACCCCCGGCCCTTCCAAGGTTGATCACAGCGGGTCCCCACGCTCCAGCTCCCCAGCAAATCTCTGTGCTCCCAGGTTCTCCCCCTCCAACCTACATCTCTACGAGATAAACCTCCCTTAGGACACCACTGGGCCCCTCTCAATCTTGGCTGCTACCTATCTTCTAAACTTATTTCTCACTGCCTTTCTAGAACTCTCTGCCTCAACCGACTAACCTGTTCGCTATTCTCTAAACCCACCAAGAACACTGGCGACCTTCAGGCCACTGCTAATGTGATTCTGCACACTGCATTTTTTGAGAGTTCTGTTCTGCCTTCAAAGTCATCTGCCCCCTAGAACCCCACCCTTAGCGATCAAGCTCTTCTCTATTTTAGTCAGCTGTTCTGCCCTTTTAAACAGCTTTTTTGAGGTTTAACACACACTCACACCGCATAAAACCCATCCAGTGTGTAATTCAGTGCCTTAGCTAACTCTCACCCCGAAACGCTCCCTCCCATCTGTTTACAACTAAGTCCTGCTCCCATCTCCAGCCTCGGGCGAACACTGTTCTACTGTCTCTCTCTGTGAACTCGCCTTGTCTGGCCATTTCCGACAGATCGGCTCACACAAGGCACAGTCTTGCCGTCGGCTTCTTCGCCCCCTGGTTTGGAGGCTAATCCATGCTGTGCCGCCTGCAGCAGCAGGCCACCCTGTTACACTGCCGAGTGGTGCGTCGTATACGTGCTCTCCGTGTTGTTAAACCAGTCACCAGTCAGTGGCCATCGGGTCACCTGCAGTTTGGTGACCATCAGGAGCGACGCCCATTTCTCTGCATCCTCGCCGACTCTTGCTACTGTCTTTTTTAATTTTAGCTGCCCCGTGCTTGTGCAGTTCTGTCTCTCCGCAGCTTCAGTGGCTCCTCCCAATAGTGCTGGCAGCCAGCATCCCTCTGGGTCTATTAGCCCTGCTGCTTCTTCGCTGGTGATGGGTCTCATCCAGTCCTTGCCCATTTTTCAACTGCTTTGTCTGTCTTCTTACTATTGGGCTGTGGAAGTTCTGGATATTCTGATGCAAACCCTTTATGTGCTTGAGAAATATTTTCTTTCAGAGGATGGGTTGTCTTTCATCTTCTTAATGTCGTCTTTTGAAGCAGAGACATTTTCAGTTCTGAAGAAATCCAATTTATCAGGTTTCTTTTCTCTTTATGGATTATGCTTTTGGTGTTGTATTAATGAACACTTTGCCCAATTTGAATCAAATAAAATTTTTCTTTTATAGCTTCTTGTGATGACTTTATAGTTTTAGCTCTTGTATGTGGGTCTATGGTCCATTTAA